TATATATATATACACATATAAATAAATAAAAGACTTTTTTTATACAAGTGAACAAAGCTGAGTCTCACCTCTTCTGTCATATTTAGCTTTGGGAAGATGAAAAGGGGGGGGCGCGTTTTTTCTTTGTTTTTTTTTCTTTTTCAAGACAGGGTTTCTCTGTGTAGCCCTGGCTGTCCTGGAACTCACTCTGTAGACCGGGCTGGCCTCGAACTCACAGAGATCCACCTGCCCCTGCCTCCCGAGTGCTGGGATTAAAGGTGTGTGCCACCACACCCAGCTTTTCACCTCACTGGGTTTTTGTTGTTGTTGTTTGTTTTTTTTTTAATGATTCATTTATTTTTATTTTATATGCGTTGGTGCTTTGCCTGCATGTATGTCTGAGGGTGTCAGATCCCTTGGAACCAGAACTACAGAGAGTTGTAAGCCTCCAGGGAATTTGAACCTGGGTCCTCCGAGAGTCACTGCTCTTAACTGCTGAGCCATCTCTCCAGCTCCTCACCTCATTGTTTTTGAGACAGGGTCTCTCACTGAACACTGAGCCTATCAGCTCGACTATACTGGTTGCCAGACGTCTAGCTCCAGGAATCCTCCTGTCTCACAAGCTCTGAAGTTGCATCGGTATTTTGTCTGGATTTTCTACATGGGTCCCCGGGGATCCGAACTCAAGCTCTCATATTTCTGGGGCCAAACGCTGTACCAACAGAGCCCTGTCCCAGCCCCCAGACATTATTGCTAATGCCTTCCAAGAAAACATAACAATAATTGAACCAAGACTGTATTTCCCATGATGCTCTGCCTCAGATGCTTCCTGTTTCAAGTTGAAGATAATGTCACCACGATGCCTTGCAAAAGACATTGAGGCTAAGGCTGCCTCTTCCATGATGCCTTGCAGTGGGGCTCAGAGGGATAGAAATGGCCGCCCCCGGGGGTCCCCTTTTTAAAGACTGAGGCCACGTTTCTCTATCCCATAGTCTGTTGTAGGCCTCAGTGTCGCTGGCTCCTGAGTTGGTCTTCCAGCATCTTTGGCTGCAAGGGATAAAATCTCTTGTGCTAACTTAAGCAGAAACTGGTATCCTATAGGGAGGTTAGAGTCTAAGCAAAGTCCTGGGTCTCCTGGGACAAGAAGGAACCTGCAAGCCATGTAAATCAGAGGAAGCTCCTTCCTGTAGACTCTGTCCCTCTCCCACCCTCCTGTGCGTGCATGCGTGCGTGTGCGTGTGTGTGCTCACATGCAGACCTGTATGCATATGTGGGCAGCGTGTGTGTGTGTGTGTGTGTGTGTGTGTGTGTGTGTGTGTGT